AGTCAGCGAAGCCGAGAGGAGGGGCCGCGGCGAGAACCAGAAATGAGAGCAACCCCAGGCTAGACGAGAAATGAGACCGCAGGCGAGAAAGGCAGAGTGACTGGAAAGGATGAGGCCAGAGAGAGACAAAACAACAACTGGAAGGTAGACAAGGCAGGCTAAAGGCTGGGCCTGGGAAGTAAAAATTGTGGGTGTTGCTACTTATTACGTAACGGCGCCTATTCAAGACTGCTCGAGTGACACTCCTACAACCCCTAGATGTTCGAAATAACCTACAACCGCGTGATCGGTTTCGCTGCCCAGGAAAGAAGAATGCATGGACCCCTTGGATGTCTTCTGCGCGGCAGCTGTCAGAGAAGGGCTTCCGGTGCGCTGTCGGTCTGCAAGTGGAAACCACTGTAGCAATTTAAGTCTGAGGCTCGCGGGGGCAGTCTCCGTGTCAGCCACGGATGCCAGTGTCAGACGGTCGCCACGCAGTAAATATGAGTAGGCCGTGGCGGCAACGCAAGCTCTTTCAGGAAGCGCCCCGACTCTGTTGCAAGCCACCGGCCTCCAGCGCTCGGTCCCTTCCTGCTCGGACCCCGGCCCGGAGGCTTGTGGGTAAAGGAGAGTACGTCACCGCCGCCTGCGAACGTGCGGGTCACGTGCCCCGGGCCGCTGCCTGTCGCCCTGCCAGACCTTCGCATGGAGGAGTGTGAGGGAGTTCGTCCTACGCCGAGCTAAGGAAAGGAGACTCAGAATTCTCAATAACCCTTTAGCCTTCACATCCTAGGATAAAAACAGTGGAAGTCCTAGGTGACCGTGAACTAGCGGGAATGTGCAGATTTGATCGTATGTGGAAGAGTCCGGTGATAGTGACTTGGATGGTTGCGCCACAGAGGCATAAACATACAAAGGAAGATCCGGCGGCAATCCGATGAGGAAACCACCACACTGGGGGCTTGTGAAACCGTCTCGCTAGTAGATGTTAGGTTGCCAGCAGACTTACACATTACGTATTTCTGTTAAAGAAATTCTAGCTCTCTTTTTAAATACCACAGAAACACAAAACAAAAGATTCCTGCAAATCAATTTTTTTAATGAATTACTAGTTATGTACTGGTGTTTTAACATGATCTTGTTAATAAAACAAAATATATTCCGAATTAAGGGTTTCCCACTGGGTCATAATCAACTCAATAGCAGTGATCTTTTAAAAACAACCATTAAATATGTTTAAGCCTAGACTGTGTTGCTATAAATGTCTTTTTGGAACGAACACACAGCCACGGGGAGTCAAGTGAGGCGATTGAATTGGGGGGGGGAAATCCGCTCCCATGGAGCTGCTACCAGTGGGCGCCAACAGGGTTCCTTTGAGTGGTTAAATGAGTCTTTATTTTCTTATGATCCTTTCTACCTACGTATTTCTTTTACTCTCCTTGCTTTGATAATAAACTATTGCCTTGTCCTGACCGGGATTTTCCCTTTGAAGAGACTGGTAAATTTTCCCAGGGAATTTATGTTAGCCTATTTCTAGTAGTGATATTGACAAAAATTCAAAAGTGAAGTTATGTCAAGTGCATGCATAGCTTCTTCCTGAATAACAATAGAAAATGCAATCTTGATAATATCTTATTTGGAACCATATTTAAGGATGGTTATTAAAAATAGGAATTTACATTTTTAAAAGCTAGTATCTTCCGATGTTCCAAACATAGTTTCTCTTCTCCGTTGAAAATGAGCAGTGCATTAAGAGAGCAATTTAGCACAATTCTCCAGGATAGAGCGATTGAGGTAACCCGCCCCCCACACACACACCGTTTTTTTTCACTTAAGATTATTTTCAAAATCAGCTTGTATGATGTTGCTGCTGTGGAGTCAATGCCAATTTATAGCGAGCCTACTTTCTCCGTGCTCTAGAGCGGTTGGTGGTTTGGGACTACCGACTTGGCTGATCACAGCCCAATGCATAACCATTACACCATGGGAACTTTGGTGGCAGAGTCGTTATGAGTTGGGCTACTAGCCCCAAGGTTAGCAGTTTGAAACCACCAGTGGATCCTCAGGAGAAAAATGAGGCTACCTACTCCAGTAAAGAATAGTCTTGAAACATATAACATTACTCTAGTTCTTTAATGCTTCCTCCCCTCCGCTATCATGACCCCAATTCTACTTTACAAATCTGGCTACAGCATGTACACTGCTGATAGGTACGAGGTCTGGACACATGGAATCCAGGACAGATAAACTCCTCAGGAACAATAAGGGGGAAGGTGGAGGATGTATAACCTCCCCTTCCCCCAAGGGGGACGAGCAACAAAAATGTAGGTGGAAGGAGACAGTGGTCTGTGTAAGATATGAAAATAATAATTCATAAATTATCAAGGGTTCATGAGGGAGGAAGGAAAAAATGAGCTGATAACCACGAGCTCAAGTAGAAAGAAAATGTTTTGAAAAGGATGATGGCAACACATATACAAATGTGCTTGACACAATGGATGGATGGATTGTTGTAAGAGCCCCCAATAAAATGCTTTGGGAAAAAAAATTACAGTCTCGGAAACCCACAGGAGCAGTTCTACCTTTTCCTTTTGGGTCGCTGAGTCGGCATTTGACGATGACACTGAGTTGAGTTGAGCTTATATGCTAAATCACTTGTCCTGACAGTTTTTTGTTTTTGGAGGATGAAAGATGGAAGATGAAATTATGTGCTTTGAACAGATTACTACGAAAAAGGTCTTAACTTTTTTTTTTTTCCAGAATAGTATTGCTGACATATAGCTACGGTAGAAAATCTAGTTCTCCTTTTCCCAAACACTGAACGTGGAATCATTCATCTGGTTGATGAATGCGTAGTGATTTTCACTGTGCCTGAAAATGCACGAATTAGAATATTTCTCAGTGTAAAATGTCTCCCAGGGAACTGAGAGGAATATTTTTGCATCCTGTTTGATACTTTTCAGAAAAGTAGAAGTACATGGTGGTAGAATGATTAACCTAATCAACGAATATGCGAATGACACCTAACCTTTTAGAACTCAAAATTCACCACTGGGTATTTTCAGAGAGGAAAGAGGCCAACGCTTTGTAGGTTTTGTTAATTCTAGTAAACAGAACGTGACGTGAAACTTCTACGTGGAAACTTGGACATCAGGCATGCACAAAGAGACCTCTAGTGGCCAAATTGAAAAGTTTTGCTTACGTATTTAACAGTTTATCCATTTGGTTATTAGTTAACAAATGCTTTTTGGATTAAAAGCAGTCTGCAATTCTGGCTGAAATTGAATACCCTCCCTATTTCATTCTTACAAATGTGCAGCCCAGATGAGTAGGGTCAGCTCAACATGTTAAGAAAAACACTCTCCCTGAGAAAGCGATCTCTTGCAGCCTGGGGCTTGTTAGAGAAGAAGCACTAACTTTTTCGTCTTTTTTTCTGTAGCCAGGTAAAATGGATGGGAAGAGATTACTTGGAACAAGCCTATTTCTAGCTCTTTCACTTTCCCCAGACTGCTCTGATACCATCTAAGGAAGTGAATTGCCTCCAAACTTGCAGTCATTGCACAATTACTATTATGTCCGTATACGTATATGTACATGTACATGTATGTGCATGTTTGTATGAGGTGCTTCAAACAAAAAGTTTGTGGGGGAAATTCCATTATCTTTTAATTTTCCCACAACCTTTCTAAAGCTACCTCATTCATATATGTACGTGTGTGTATGCACACATACGTATAATTTTTAGATTTCTATAGAAACTCCTATGGTAACCATAAATAAACACCACCTGTTAAGAGAACATTTATAAAGCAAATTTCTTTGGGGGAATTTAAGATTTTTTTTCATATAAAGATTTCACATCATTCCAGTCCTAGGGTCAAGAGAAAGATGTTCTTCCCATTTCCGCCCTTTCGGTCGCCCCCCGTTCTGCTCCAGGCAATTGCTAAGTTGGAGAGGGGGGGATACATTCAGGTGATGTCATTCGTGATTTCAGGATGGTTACCATGGTGAATAGCAGATTCTATATAACGCTATCAGTAGGGCAAGAGGTTCTCTAAGTCAGCCTTCAATCAAAGGCTTCCAAGGGGTTTAAGCCTTAGCCTGTAAAGGGTGTGGCAAAAAAAACACCTCTCGTTGGGCCACCCCAGCACAGATGCTCCTTAAAGTGAACCCACTGGAGAAGTCATTACATCAGTAGGAACCAGACCTTGGGGCCTCCCGGGTGGCTACGTAGAAGGACGCCCCGCCCCGTCCCTGCCATATTTGAGAGATCATTGGTTGCTGGTTTTGTCACTCAGAATGACTACCCGGTGAGAGGAAAAGGGGAGGAACCATAGAGTTCTGGCTTCAGGCCCTTCTAGCTTGGGGAAACGGGGTGGTCGGGGAGGGGGCGCGACGGGGGAGGAGCTGGGAGGACCGGAGCAGCCGTTCCGGGGAGCAGTGCGGCGGCGGTCGCGGTGGGCCAAGTCCTCCAGCTCTGGTTCCTTGGTGGACCGCGCCCGCCGTTTCTCCTCCGTGCGCGCTCCCTCCGCATCGGCTGCTCCGTCTAGCACCCGCTTTCCCGACGGCTTCCAGTTTCCCACCGCGCTCTGGTCCTCCAGGATCCGCCTTCCCTCCTCCCCCTAAACTTTGGAGCTCAGCCTCCATTCTCCTTCCTCTGTTCCCTCGCTTCCTCCTTTCTCCCTAGGACTGCCTCCAGTAAACCGGACCACCAACAAAGTTCTTCGTTCTGGTGCCTGCCCCACCCTCGCCCCTAAAAACGAACAACACCCCACCCCTACACACATACACCCCACACCACCACCACAACAAACACGCCACACACACACAGCACACGCAAGGCCCCAGCAACAGACACTGGCTGAGAAAGTCAAGGGGCATTTTGCTCCGTGTCAAAAGCAAAGGTAACCCCGGGAGCCCTGTGTCCTTGGACCCCGCTGGCCTGGGACATGGGGCCACAGTGCAGGTTGGCCTGGGGGCTCTAGCGGATGAATCCCAGGATCTGATCTTGCTTCCCGTTACCAGAGACCGCCAGTGTGAGTCTAGGTTCCCTGCTCTTTCAGACGGTCTGAAGGAACATTTGAACCCGCGTGGTTGCGGTTTCCATGTAGAAAAGATCCTGGAACTGCTGTCCCAGCTGCCTGAAAGCAGAGTTACCAACTTAAGGTTCTCAAGCTCCTTTGCCGTCACTTGCTAAAAAGCGCCACAGGATGGAGAACCATTTGGGTGAAGCGTTTAAAGTACAAAGCTCAGTTTGGAGAATCACTAGCGCAAGAAACCTTTACTTGAACTATTATTAATAGGTGTTGTGCATGTCTTCACTGCTACATTAATGAGGCTACCGAGTACTAGGGTTTGGAGCAGCTTAGCCAAGTATGGGGAAAAGTTCATTGAAGCAAAATCCTAGAATTCCAGTGCAGGAAACCCATAGGGGCAGTTCTGCGCTGTCCTATAGGCTAGCTATGAGTCAGAATCAGCTCGATGGCAGTGAGTTTGTGAGGAATTGACTGGTTGTCAGAGGGTTTGGGATACTGACCAGAAATCAAAGTACCGTTGAAGGCCAGATACCATATTAGAGATCATTTCTCTTTGTTAGGATCTCAAGGGACCACTCTCAGGTCCAGGGATAAGAAAATATTATTCATGATGAACGTGAGGGTAGTTTTGTACTTTGAATAAAACATGCACATTTTCTATACTTGCAATAGTTTAAAAATATTCAGACTTTGATAACTTTACAATTGAGGTGTTTTTAAAATACTAAATTTCTTCTGCCTAGGTCCCTATGTTGACTAGTGGAGAAAACTATAAATATGGCTCTCTATACTTGTAATACAATCTTAGCTATTTCCCGAACAAGGTAAGTGTTGAAATTTTTCCTCCAATATTTAAATAAACCACTCTTCTAGATGGAGAAATATGTGTAAAAATATAAGCTTAGTACATAACTAAGGAGTCCTGGAGTCTTGTAGTGTATTGGGTTATGCAATGTTTGGGGTTGTTAACCTCAAGGTCAGCAGTTCTAAATGAACAGCCACTCCAAGGGGAAAAGATGAAGCTTTCAATACCCGTAAGATTTTCAGTCTCAGAATCCCATAGGAGTCGTTCTACTCTGCCCTATGGGAGTAAGAAGTCAGAATTAATTCCTTGGCAGTGCATCAGGACATAATTAAAACTTCATTTGTTTTCACAATGTTAGTGTTTAGGAAGCTGACATTCTAATGTATTTGAACGTACCCCCAAATATCTGTATGCTTCACATGGAAGCATAGAACTTTGTGTTTTGGAACTCAGATAGATAGCTTAAACAATTTTGTCCATCGGTGGCCTAGGTAAGATGAAGTTTTAGAATGACACCCGGATAATTGAGAAGCATTCCATGAGGGCTTCAGATGTAAAAGGGGGTAAAATGGATAGTTAACCCAGTCCTGAGGTTCTGATGTGCCCCAGTAAGGTCTGTTATCACTTATTTATTCAAACGAATAATTAAAACCGATTGCCTTCAAGTCAGTTCTGATGCCTTTGGGCATCAGGGTTTCTGAGACTGTAAATCTTGGTGGAGCAGACAGGCTCATCTTTCACTTGGGGAAGCAGCTGGTGGGCTTAAACCGACCATGTAGTTAGCCGCCCAACACTTCATCCCCGGCATCACCAGGCCTCCTCCTTTAAAAGAATACTCATGGAGAAGTTACTAAGTGCCAGATACATCATACATTCTAACTTTTGGCCATTCAAAGGAGGGCTTATTGGAAGGCTTCAAAAACAGTCTGACCAATTGGAAAAGCTCTCTCTTTCCCAAAGCAAGGGTCTCTGCCAGGAGCTATCTCTGCCTACATGGATCTTATTCTTCTTTTCAAACCCTCTGATGCGCGCGCGCTTAACTGAAGCTTGAATGTGATGTTGCCAGACGAGAGTGTAGAAATCTCTGGTTGAAGTGCTCAGTTCTAATGATCATTCCTAAACTTCTTGGGGAATTGTAGATGAGGAGTTTTTCACATGTAACTGCCTCTCCTTTGAGGGGGTCAAGGGAGACTGAAGACACCGCATTGACTACGAATATTATGTGATTGGTAAATACCCATTGGGACTGTGAAGTGTTTCATTAAAATAATCTTCCTAGAGTGGTTTCCAACACAACCCTGGCACCTGTTTTATGGCAGTGGCTAGAGACAGCATTTCCAAATATAACCATTGGTGAAAAAATGTTTATCGTTAGAGTTTTAATTAATAGTTGCAGGGCTTCTGATTCCTGTTATAGCAATTTACCCTTGTGAATTAAATTACTAATGTTTCTCATGGAATATTATTCAACCATACAGCCTATTGACCTTCAGCTGAGGTTACAGAGTTCTATTGCATTCAATAATGAGCATTAAATGAGTCAGCTCTTTAAAATAAGCTTAAAGACCATGATTTAGCTGTATCTTTAGCTTTTAAGGTTTTACTATGATATGTTTATCTCAGAGGATGTTGCTCTTTCTTCCAGATTCCCCCGCCTTTTTGTCCATCCTACCTGCTCTTCTTATTCCCCATCACTTGCATATCTTCAACTGCCAAATCCCCAATTAAACAAGTCTTATATGAAGAACTATGGAAGCAAGAAAGATTCCCCTTTTATCCAGTCGGGCAGTCAAGTACTTCACTTACACACCAGGACAATACAAAAGCTACACACGTCAACATGCTGGCTTCAAGAGGTCCCTGGGAAGCCTCAGCCAGAGAGAGCCAAAGAACAGTCGAAGGTGACGAGCACTCAGCCCACAAAGGAAATTGGCCAAAAGATTAAGAAAGTAAAGCGATCCTACAGACAAATGATCTTGGATGAAATCAAATTATATGCCAATGGATTCTACTTGCTCTGGATTGACACCAAAGTGGCTGTCAGAATGGTGTGGAGGCTCTTGCACGGACAGGTGCTGACCAGGCGAGAGAGACGAAGGGTAGGCATGAGGCATATTTGAGAAAGAAGATGTGAAATGAAAATTAGCTATATTCCTTTTGAAAACCCCAAAGCAGGGATAGTAACTACTAGTGAGAATCCAAGTTGCTTACTGAGTTTCTTACTTGTTAGCAACTGGCTTGTTATACAACTTCAGGCGAGATTCTTAAAATTTGTGTATATTTGCCTATAGAATGGTTATTATTGTGTTTTCTAATCTCTCCAAGGATTTATGCATCTAAAGTACAAACTGTTGTTAATATATTAAGTATATGCATTCTTAAAACCAATTTTAACATACTGTGTTATTAAAGCATGGACCCCTAACTTAGATGAAAGCAAAGAGATGCCAATAACATGTTTTGATTATCATAGATTTCCTTGAAGATATCCCATAAATATTACTTCAGAGCCATGGTAAAGAGGAGAACCCTGCCTTTCCATTTTATAAAACAGCTGCAGGAAATCTGTCTTGGGCTTTTAACACTTTAAGAACCCAGGCAGCCTTTTTTATTTTGTTTTTGTTTTGTTTTGGCATGTCCTACAATAATGAATATTGCATATGCATTTAATTCTTTAGCTGCTGAGAACTTGCGCTGATCTCTTCCGCCTGCTTCCATTTCTGGTGTTCATAATTGTGCCCTTCATGGAATTATTATTACCCTTGTTTCTGAAACTCTTCCCAGATATGCTGCCATCAACTTTCGAAAGTGAATCCAAGAAGGTATATAAGAATGTAGGATATTTTTAACTGTGTATTAAAAGATATGATCCAGTGTATATTTTACCATTGTAACCTTTTTTTTTCTATTCAGTAGCATTTATTACACTCACAGTGTGTACAAGAATCACCACTATTTCCAAAACGTTTTTTATTGCCCCAAACAGAAACTCTATTCCTATTAAGCAATAACTCCCCATCCCTCCATCCTTCAGTCCTGGGTAACCTCTACTCTACTTTTGTCTCTATAAATGTGCCTAATTTAGATATTTTATGTAAGTAAACTTACACAATATCTGCCTTCTTGTGTCTGGCTTATTTCACTTATAATGTTTTCAATGTTTATCCATGTTGTAGCAGAACTCTGTTTCTTTTTAAAGCTGAACAATATATTCTATTGTATTACATAGCATATTAACTTGGTCTTTAAGAGCAATAAAGCAAACAAAAATCAATGGTTAGTACAGTGGCTAGTTGAATAGTAGGATTTGTTCAGCCAAACACGCCCGTCTGTGCTTATGGGTATTCCATGAAAAGAGGGTGCCCTCATTGAGCATGATGGTCACTGTGAAGGTGGTTGGGGAGAAAACAAAGGCAACTCCTTTATTCTCTCCATTCTTTCCCACTCTAGGAAAGTGTGAACAAAGTATGAGAACAAAGGGGCCTACTTCTTAATTTCTTCGAAAGCAAACTCTTTGCTGTTGAGTGAATTCCTACTCATAGTGACTCTATATGACAGGGTAGAACTGTCCCACGGGGTTTCCAAGGCTGTACATCTTTATGGGCACAGATTGCAGTATCTTTTCCCCACAGAGCAGCCTGTGAGCTTGAGCCATCAACCCTTTGGTTAGTAACTGAAGCTCATCAGTTCTTTGGCTAGTAACTGAATACTTGACCACGGCATCCCTCAGAGCTTCTTTCAACTCGATAAGATTGGGAAATGTTCCACAGTGAACACTGAACAGTGTGGGAAAGACAATCTTGATGAAAAGAATCAGATTGGAAATGGCTTAACGATATAAAAGAGTATCGGGCAGTCAGCAAACACTGATTGGTTCATTGTGGTTGGAGCAGAGGGTAAGTGACATGTTGGGGTCAGGTTGGAAGCATTGCCACCTCAAGGAGCCTAGACAACCTTTAACAGTGTGACTCACTGTTAAAGGTAAATGTTTAAGTGGGGGAAGGTGAAAAGAGATGTGTATCTTAGAAAAAGAATGTTTTTTGAAAGGAAGAATTAGAGGACAGAGCTAATGCAGTGAAATCAGGTGGGATGCTATTGCAGTTTCTGAGAAATAAGTCATTGTGGGGGTTGTAAGATACCATCAAACTGGTTCTGACTCATAGCAACCCTCTGTACGACAGAATGAAACACTGCCCGGACCGGCACCATCCTCATAGCTGTTCTTAAGTTTGTACTCATTGTTGCAGCCACTTGTCAGTCCATCTAGCTGAGGGCCTTCCTCTTTTCCGCTGCCCTCTACTTTACCAGGCATGCTGTCCTTCTCCAGGAAACGGCCTCTCCTGAGAACGTGTCCACAGGATATGAGTCAAAGTCTTGACATCCTTGTCTCCAAGGAAAAAGACTGTACTTTTTTCAAGACAGATTTGTTTGTTCTTTTGGCAGTTTGTGGAACTTTCAATATACTTCCCCGTCACCCTAATTCAAATGCATCAGTTTTTCTTTGGTCTTTCTTATTCAGTGTCCAAATTTCACATGCATTTGAGGTGATTGAAAACATCAAGGTTTGGGTCAGGCACACCTTAGTCCTCTAAGTACCCACCTTACTCTCCAACACTTGCAAGAGGTCTTGTGCAACAGATTTACCTAACGCAGTTTTTGACCTGACTGCTGCTTCCATGAACATTGATAGTGGATCCAAGCAAGACAACTACCGTAGCAACGTCAATCTTTTCTTCCTTTATCATGATGTTACTTATTGGTTTAGGTGTGAGCATTTTGGCTTTCTTTACATTGAGTTGTAATCCATACTGAAGGCTGTCACTCTTGATCTTCATCAACAAGTACTTGAAGTCCTCCTCACTTTCAGCAAGCAAGGCTTTACAAAATTCTAAATGCTGATCATTCCTATCAGCAAGACCATTTCCCCAATGATTCTTTTTAAATTATTCTTTATTGTTTCTGGTTTTCACATATCCACCACCAATAATTATCAATAGACCTTGATTGTAAACTTGACCAAGTCCAGACTACAGCCATTTGTAAAAATCCTCTGTTTCATCATCTTCGGCCTTCACGGTGTGTGTAAATGTAAAGGTTAGTCATGTTAATTGGATATTAAACTATTATTGACAGGATTATACTTCAGGATAGGTCATGAGATATTCTTTTCAATGATGACTACAATAGTCTTCCTTCTGAATTTGTCAGTCCTGGCAGAGCAGACTTATGATTACTGATTCAAAACAGCTAGTATCACACCATTTCAGCTCATTAATGCCAAAGATACCAATCCTTTAACATTTCATTTAATTTTTTATAACTTACCATTTTAATGGACTCTTACTTTTCATATCCCACATTCTGATTTTATGATATGTTTTCAGTATTACTTATCAGTTTGAGTCATGCCACACCATCAAATGAGGGTCTAGGAGGCTTTGCTTCATCCATATCATTAAGGTCTATTAGACTCTGAGGAGGTAGCTCTTCCTCAGTTGTATTTTGAATGCCTTCCTACCTGAGAAGCACCATATGAGCACCATCTTCTAGTACCCTGTGAGACAGTGTTCTATTGTTATCCATAAAGCTTCCATTGGCTCACTTTCAGAAACTGACTAAACTTGTCTTAGTCTGGAAATTCTGCTGAAACATTGTCCACCATGTGAGACCCTTCTGGTATTTGAGATAACAGTGTTACAGCGCCTAACTTCATAGTAACATGCAAGCCACCACCTAGGAGAAAATGTAACTACTGATTTTTACTAACACAAATGACTGTCCGTGTGGACTTTGCCAGGTTTAACCAATGACGTCTGTAGAAAGAGACACAGAGAACAAGGCTCTGGGAGTGGATGGAATACCAGTTGAAATGCTCATCAAATAGATGCCATGTGAAGCACTTCCATGTCCATGCCAAGAAATGTGAAAGACAGCTACCTAAGTAACCAATGGAAAGAGATCCAGATTTAGGCCTGTTAAAAAGAGAAGTGATCAAACAGAACATGGACAGTATCAAACAATAGCATTCATACCACATACTAGCAAAATATTGTGAAGATAATCACAAAATGACTGTAGCTGTACATTGACAGGAATCTGCCCAAAGTTCAAGGCAGAGTCAGAAGAGGCTATGGAACAAGGACCATCATTGCTGATGTCAACTGGATCTTGGCCTAAAGGTGTTAGCCGTCTTCTATGGACTATGGGAAGGCATTTGTCTTTGAGGATCCTAATTTATGGATAACGTTGCCAAAAAATGGGAGTTACAGAACACTTAACTGGGCTCATGCAGGACCTGTACATAGGCCACGAAGCAACTTCTGTTGAATAAAAAAAGGCTATTGCAATGGTGTAAAAATCAGAAAAGGTTTATGGCAGTATTGTAGCCTTTCACCATCCTTGTTCAGTCTGTATGCTGATCAAATAAACTGAAAACCTAGGCTCTTTGAAGGAGAATGAGGTATCAGGATTGGAGGAAGACTAACAACCTACATAACCTTGCTTTCTGAAAGCAGAGGACTTGAACCACTTACTGATGAGGTTCAAAGATTTAAGTCGCCAGCATGGATTAGACCTGGCCATAAAGGGAATGAACACCCTTCCCAAGGAGCCAGTAAGCATTATGGTAAACAGCACAGAAGTTAAATTTGTCAGGAGTTTTGTTTTACTTGGGATTCACAACGGATGCCCATGGAAACAGCAGTCAAGAAATCAAACGCCATATCACACTGGGCAGATCCACTATAAACAAGTTCGTTAGAGTGTTAAAAACCAAAGAGATCACTTTGATGACCAAGAGATCCCTGACCCAACCATGATTATGTTCTTCATTCACCCCATGTTCATGGGAAAGGGAACACTGAAGAATTGAGAAGGTAGTGTCATCTGCATGTTACTGGATGCTAAGGAGTCTCCTTCCAATCTGGATGCCACATCCTTTGTTCAAATAGTCTAGTTCCTCAAGTTGAAGTGTTGATGAAGAATACTGACTATACCATGGACTGCCAGAAGAACAGACCTGTTTCGGAGAAAGTCTAACTAGACTACTCCATAGAAGCAAGGATGGTGAGGCTTAGCTTTGCTTACTTTGGACATGTCATCAGGGGGGGCAATCGTGCTGGAGAAAGACTTCATGCTTCTTGAAATAGTGGGTCAATGAAAAAGAGGGAGACTTCAAAGAGCTGGATTGACACAACAGCTGCAACAATGGGCTCAAACGATGATTGTGAGCCACTGTTGTGCAGGACTGGGCAATGTCCCATTCTGTTATACATGGGTTCACTGTTAGTTGAAGCCAAGTCCACAGCACCTAGCAAGAAGCATAAGCTCTTGCAATAGTTCATTCAACAAAGGGATAATGGAAATTGAACTGTTAAAGTAGCAGTAGGAATAAAACTTTGAAGATAGGTTACAGAGGAAATCACATTGCAATATTTAATTGCCTAGAAATGGTCTCATTGTCATTTAAAGTAATTAGGGTCTAGAATTAATGCAATCCTATTCTTAAAAATGTAATAGTGTATACAGGAAGGTGGAGGGAGAAAGGAAGTGAATTATCTAAATAATACCTCTTATCCTCAATAGTAATTTACTTGCTGGCAGTGCGTATCCTTGATAGCACCCATTCCCCAAGCACACATAAATACATCACAGCCACAGTCATGGACGACAGTGTTGGTTTTGTCAAGTGGGGAGCGAATGAGAGAAATTATGTCCGATCACAGCACCGTGCACTTCTCTTTCATAGCATTTATCCATGATCGTTTTAATTTGTACAATCACTAGATTATCATTGGTTACTAATACTTGTCTAGACTGGAAGTTACATGAGAGCAAGCCCTGATCTGTCTTGTTCATTTTAAGTCAAAAGTAGTCCCTGAAGTCTTTCTAAAACTGTACAATTAGCTTAATTAGCTAAAAAAAAAAAAAAAAGGTTAGCCTGGAGCATTATGCGCTCTTAAGAACTTGTCTATATGACAAGCAAACTGACAACAGTAACCTAGAAGATAAGATAGAAACCTTAGGGGGCAGGGAGTTTACGTTAGTGAGGGAGGAACAACTCAGAAATAGAAGGTGAGAATGGTAGTCAATGTAATCAGTGTCTCTAAATTGTACTTGTAGAAACTGTTGAATTAGTACATGTTTTGGTATGTATATTCTCAACAACAAAATTAATAAAATCTTAAAAATACTGATCATGGTAGTATCTGCAAGAGTACATTTCACTCTCTGTAGTGCTTTATGATTCATGTGTTTACTATGCCACAGTATCATAATTCACTGTGTCTGTCTATTTAAATTTTAAACTACTAGAGGGCAAAGATAATTCCCTACTTAGATTCATAAAGCAATATCTGGGGTAACTTAGAGTTTGGGGTTGTCTCATCTAACAGCCAAGATATTTGAAGACAATATCGTTTTCTAAACAGTGACAAAACCTTCCACTGAGGGGACATTTTGGATCTATCAAATATTTGTGATTATCGTATTAGTAAGAACTGAAAATTAAAAGTAAGTGTAAAGAGAGAAATTGCAACAAAGGCCTTGTTGTTGTTCTGGGTCTCACAAAACCCACTCAATTAGGCCCGAACATAAGATTAATACATGAAACAGGAATGGGCAGTAATAAGATTATGGTGACTTTTCTTCCATTCTTATCTATCAAATTGCAATCATGAAGGGTTCCTTTAAGTTTTGCCTCTTGTACTCTCCAGGAAGAAAAACAGAAAAAGAAGATGGCCGCCAAGTTGGAACTAGCCACATTTCTTCAGGAAACAGTGACAGAAATGGCCAAGAGGAACAGAGCCGCGCTGGGTGATGCCTGCACACAGTTCTCATCCTATGCACAGCAGGTGCCAGTCTGTCATGCACTGCCCAGCAGCCTGTGTGCGTGCAGTGAGATGAACACGCATGTCATCAGAGATCTGCCAGATTGTTCTCAGATCACTGAAGTTGCATACATCTAAGTTGTAGACATAACGGCATTCGACATTTTCCATTTGGGTAATCCACTTCAATAGTGTTGCAAAAAGCCTGTCTTAAAGCCACTGAGGTGTTGAAGACATTGGTAACTTCTTGGAAAGAGGAGTAGAACTGGAGTCCGGAGCCTTCAGTTGGTTTAGTTGGACTTTAGATAGGTTTCCTCGCTCCTCATTGTAGCACAGGGGGCATTTCCAGACACATAAAGGTTGTGATGTCTCTTTTAAATAGCTGAGAAAGCCGAATGAAGTAGGACACATGATTTAACTAGCCTCTTTATCCCCTGGCCTAGGTCCAGACAGGCCACAAGCCTAGCACGAAGGAGATAGTTCGCTTTTCCAAACTATTTGAGGATGAACTGACCATGGAGCACTTAGACCGACCTCAGCTGGTTGCCCTTTGCAAACTGCTAGAATTGCAGGCCTTTGGAACCAACAATTTGCTCCGCTTTCAGCTCCTGATGAAACTGAAGTCCATAAAAGAAGACGATGAAGTAAGCGCTCACTGTAGCTGTAAGGAATCAGCAAGGCCCCGGGAGGTAATAAGGATCGATTGTCATGGGGTAGCTCTGAGGTCAAGTGCAGTATTTTCTGTTGGGTCTAAATCATTGACATGTTATGGCAAAATGAGTGATTTAAATAACCATTCCCGTGACAACCTGCTTTTAAGAGTTACTTATTGTACCAGTGCTCTTGAGAAGGCCATCCAACAGTCAGTAATTTGGACATCTTAGCTGGGACTTATCTAAAACAGCTGGACCCTACTGGGAAGGAACTGGCAGCTGAGTAGGTTTGGATGTTACACTGCCAAGTGCTCTATCCCCACACCTCGGCTCCCACAGAGCTGTCTGGGCCAGATTGAATGCTCTGCTGGTTGAGTGGAAACATAAAGCCAGGAGGAAAAGCACCTTATAGAAGGCACCGGATAGACAGACTTTAACTCTTACGCAGACTCCATGAACACGGAAGAATGCTTCTCGACTCTGAGTAATCACCTCTGTGGTGTTCCTGAGTCAGAACGATGCAATGGTGCTGCACGTTTGGTTTAGTGTGGTTTGGGTTTAAATTGTTCTGTTTGAGGAAGCGAGTATCTCAGGATTAGGAAGTTCTGAGGCCATCAAGCCCATTTGGATTTTCTTTCATCTTATTTTGAAATCATTTGATTGGGGGTTCTTACAGCTCTTATCACAATCCATACATACGTCTATTGTGTCAAGCACATGTTGCCATCGTTATTTTCAAAACATTCTCTATTTGAGTCCTTGCTATCAGCTCATTTTCTCCCCTCCCCCACCCTCCCGCCCTCATGAACCCTTAGTAATTTATTAATTTTTTCCCTCCATATCTTTCACCGACCGCTATCTCCCTTCACCTGCTTTTCTGTTGTCCATCCCCCTAGGAAGGGGTTATATGTAGAACATTGTGATTGGTTCCCCCTTCACCCCCCATCTTCTCCTTCCCCTCCTGGTATCGCTACTCTCATTATTGGCCCTGAGGGGTTTATCTGTCCTGGGTTCCCTGTGTTTCCAGCTCTTATCTGTACCCATGTACGTACTCTGGTCTAGCCGGAGTTGTAAGGTAGAATTGGGATCATGATAGTAGGGGGGGAGAGGAAGTTAAAAAAAAACTAGAGGAAAGTTATATGTTTCATTGGTGCTATATTGCAACCTGTCTGGCTCGTCTCTTCCTTCCTTGTGACTCTTCTGTAAGGGGATGTCCAATTGTCTACAGATGGGCTTTGGGTCTCCACTCTGCACTCCCCCTCATTCACATTGATAAGATTTTTTGTTCTGGGTCTTTGACACCTGATACCTGATCCCATCGACACCTCATGATCACACAGGCTGGTGTGCTTCTTCCATGTGGGCTTTGTTGCTTTCTCGGCTAGATGGCTGCTTGTTTATCTCCTCTATTTCCTTTTACTTTCCTCTTGTCCCACTATCATTTTTGGCCTTCATTTGGGCTTCACTAATTCCTCTGAGCTACACTGTCCTTGATCAAGCCCCACTAGGCATCCTATACCCTCCTCAAAATTGATTTTATATCACTTGTTGTTCCCTTGTCCCTAGGTTGGTTGACACCTCCCTTCCTTTCCCCTGTTCCCCCTTTCCCGTGTCTCCTCGGAACTCTTGGTCCCATTGTTTTCTCCTCTGGATTGTTTATCCTGCCTATCTTATCTAGATAGACATGCAATGAATAACAAGCACAAAAACAAGACAGAGCAAAACAAAACAAAGTAAGAACAAAAACAACGACAAAAAAAGAAAAGCCTATGAATAGTTCCAGGTCTGTTTGTTGATCTTTAGGAGTGTTTTCCAGTTGAGTGATGGGGTGCCATGTCCTGACCCCAAAGTCTACTTTTGGTATTCCCTGGGGACTTCACTGCTTTGCTCTCCTTGCTGTTCTCTTGCACACCCTTAGCTTTTTCCCCCAGTGTGTTGAGGTCAGATCGGGCACATTTCCCACACTGTGCCTCCAGTATTGTCCCCCGTAGCGGTATGGATCAGTGAGGGATGTCGTGTCTCATGGTGGGGCCCGGCCCTTTGGTCCTCTCTGTGCATTGGCTGCTCTGAGAAGGAATATCGTCCTTTGGTTCGGTGGGCCAGGATATGTTCCACCCTCTCTCCTTCCCTCTTCGTTTGCTCCTATGTGCTCTGATCAGATGTGCCCCTCTCCCTGAGCTGTAGTTTCAGTGCTGTCCTGTAAAGAGCATTCTTCTTGGGGCAGGGGGTGGGGAGGGAGCAGCCATTTGGATTTCAGTTGTAGCACATTGGAGTAAACAATACTGGTCTCACAAGCACCCGAGTTCCCGGTGACAGCAAGCAAACGTGTTAAAAGTATGAATGAGGGAGTTGTGTGGTCCACTTGGGGTGGTGCCTAGAAGAGTGTGGGGGGAGAACTCTGGGACATATAATAAACGGCACATGGAAAGTGAAGTACTTTTCTAATGAATCCTAACACTGCCACAAAAGGGGAAAGGCAGGGAGAGGTTACAGCCAGGCAAAATGCAAATCAAGAGGGAAAGAATTACTTTGGCGACAGAATGTTGGGGAAAACTTCAAATAAAAAAAGAAAGAAAGAAAACTTAACTGCCATTGAGTTGATTCCAGCTCATAGGAATGTTGGGGAGGACGTATGTTTTACGTCTGGGATATTGTTCCCACCTGTTGGCAGCATTCCATTCTCTCCATTCCCACCCTCCGTGCTCTCTAAGGCTCCTGGCCTGTGCAGCAGTGCAGGGCACAAAAAGTCAAAAAGCACAAGACCCCTTTGTGTTTCTCCTCGGTTTACTGGACTTTGGGGATTATGTGCAGCAACCGGGCGCCCACAAAGCCAACACCATGCCCTGCTTTGTTTTCCTTCCAGGTAATTGCCAAAGAAGGGGTGAGTGCTCTGAGTGTGTCTGAACTCCAGGCTGCCTGCAGGGCCCGCGGGATGAGATCACTGGGTCTCACGGAGGAACAGCTGAGACAACAGCTCACTGAGGCAAGGAGCAGCTTTTCACCAGAGCTCACTCCCCAACACTTTGCGGGCCTCACTCTGTCCTTTCTACTTGGCCAGTGAATCATCGAGTCTAATGTACCTTCTGGAACCCAGTGGCTGACCAAGCAGCAGGGCGGGGTGGGGTGCGGCAGGCCACTGGAGAGAGAGATGTATGGTTCACGCGGACTGGACTAGGGGGCTGTATTCGTTTTCTGTGGCTGCATAACACACTACCACCGATTCAGTGACTTCACAGGACACCCAGTGAGTAGCTCACAGATGCATGGGTCAGCAGTGCAGGCTGCACCTTGCTGGGGCTGGGCTGGGGACAAGGAGAATGCACTGCCAGGCGCATCCAGGTTGGCGGAATCGTGTTCCTTGCTGCAGGAGCATTGCGCTTCCTGTTTCTTGGGGGCTGTCAGTTCTCAGAAGCTGCTCCTCTGAGCAGTTAGGATGCTTCCATTCCTTCTGTGGTTCCCTCCCCCCATCCCCCACCGGTCCCAGCAAGGTCAATAAAAGAAGACAAATTTCCCCATTTCTAACTATAATACCAGACTGAAATGGCTCCCTTACATGTGATTACATGAGCCCCTCCTAAATAAGTTCCCTATTTTATGGTCAACCGATTTAGAATTTGAGTGAAAAGCAAACAAGCAAATAACCCATTGCTGTTGAGTTGATCCCAATGGTAGGGAACAGAGTCGAACTTTAGGACAGTGGAACTGCCCCTTTTGCAGTTCCAAGCCTGCCTGTTGTCTTTAAGGAAGCAGGCAGGCATCTTTCTCCTTTGGAGTGGCTGGTTTCAGCCAACGGCCTTTCAGTAACAGCTGATGCTTTAACCACTGCCCAATGACATTTAAAAAATCCTTTCAGAAAGGGCACCAAGATTAGCGTTCAGGAGAGCTGGTGTTTGCGTGGTTAGCTCCTGCTAAGTTGGAATGGAGCAGACAGCAGCCGTGGAGCCCTGGTGGTGCTGTCAGCAGTGTTGGACTGCTGGCCTCACAGTCCTGGCAGTTCAGCCTCACTCGCCCCACTGGGGAAGAAAGAGGAGGCTCTAGAAACCCCACAGCAGGTACTCTTGGTCTGAGTCGACCCAGAGACAGGAACCGTGAGGTGATATTTTGGGTGGTTTGTTTTTTGGTTTAGCTTTAGCTTAATGAGCCCTGGTGGCATAGAGGTTATGTGCTGGGCTGTTCAAAACCACCAGCCACTCCACCAGCCTGCGGAGAAAGAGGGGGCTTCCTACTTCCACCAAGAATTATAGTCTCAGAAACCACAGGGGCAGTTCTACCCTGTCCTAGAGCAGTGGTTCTCAACCTTCCTAATGCTGCGGCCCTTTCCTACAATTCCTCATGTGGTGGTGACCCACCATAAACTTATTTTTGTTGCTGTAATTTTGCTACTGTTATGAATCGGGCAACCCCTGTGAAAGGGTCATTCAACCCCAAAGGGGAAGTGGACCCACAGGTTGAGAACCGCTGTCCTATAGGGTTGCTATGAGTCAGCCTCACCTCGATAGCAGTGGGGTTTGTTGTTCTGTTTTTCAGCATTAGATTGATGTGCGATTAAATAACTGGGAGAAGGGTATGCACACTAGGCACTAATCCCTAGACCATCTTGGCATTCTGCCTGCCGGAGTGCCTGGGGGAGTCTGTAATGCAAGGCCTATTATCATCATGAATTCCTCTGATGTCTGAACATCCCCAACCTGGTCTGCTTTCCCAATTAGTGTCCCAAACCAATGTAAAGTGTTAGTTCTGGTAACAGATGTTTAACATTTCCCTTCGGATAACATATTTGTATTTTAACTGAGAGTGTCAATGCTCCAAACCATATGTTCCCAAACGTCTTTGGCCTACTACACCTTCCACATTAAAAAAAAAATTCACTGTCCCATGGCAATGAAAAGTTTTTGTACTATATTTAGCTCATAATCCAGGATACCGTGTAGTATCTGCCTTTGCAGTTCCCCTGGATTGTTCCAGTGCCCTCACCACCACCACCCAGAAGGCAGAACCACCCACTTTGGGAAACACTCCTCTAAAGCAAAGGGGTAACTTCTGATAATATTCTTATTCCTCTGACAGGCTATCAGGGCTGTGAGTTGAGAAATGGCCTTGAACTCCACCCCAGTTCCCTTGTTACCAATTGACCGATCCCATCAGATCTCCCCACAGAGGATAATTACATCCTTTTGATAATTACATCATTATGTAACTAGCCATATTGCCATGTTTTGAGGGGACACAATTCCATCCATGACACCTGTAATAGTAAAAAGTGCTCTCAAGGGCACACAAATTATTTGGGGGTAGAGCCATTGGTGTGACTTTAAGGCCATGTTATGTAACCATTTCCTCTTATATCAGGTGGGGCGATGAATGTATTCTAAAGAGAGACACTTAAAATAATTTTTCTTAAGCAGGCAGCGTAAGTGGGTTCATTGTCATAATGTTAAATTACTTTCTTGCAAAAGTGTCTCATTTTACAGTCTCACCCTGAGGGGTGAAGACACTAAGTCAGCCAGGTAACACTGCATTATTGGTCCAATCCTGGGGCAGGGTCTCAGCAGACAAGTCACAGAAAGGAGACATTGTTAATAGTAAACATGATGCTTTGCACTGTATTCATACTAAAACAAAGCAAAACCAAACAGAAACCAAATTCACTGTCAAGTTGATGCTGACTTACAGTAGCCCTATAGGAATGTGGTTCTCGACCTTTGGGGGTTGAACGACCCTTTCTCAGGGGTCGCCCGATTCATAACAGTAGCAAAATGACAGTTATGAAGTAGCAACGAAAATGATTTAATGGTTGGGGGGGGGGTCACCACAACATGACAAACTGTATTAAAGGGTCGCGGCATCAGGAAGGTTGAGAATCACTATTTTAAAAGGCGGCCACTCAATATTACTGATATCTATCAACCTCCATGATACACATTGCAATGAACAAAAGCAAAGGCCAAAACAGGGCTTTTGTTACCCTTTGTGTAAAGACCAAAACTATATTAACCATATGCCCATGTATTTGTAAAAACGCAGGGCATCTCTAGAAGATAAGGAAGTGGTACAAGGAACCAGTGCATGGAGGAGAGAGCGCTAGGGAATGAGGCTAGAAGGCAGATTGATTTATTATTAAATGAACTCTATTGACGGTTTGAATTTTACATTTTGTGCATGTATTCTTGACTTAAAAATACTTCTAAAACTTGAAAGCATACCGTTTTTCATTGTTTATTTCTTTGGTTATGAATGTGGTGAATTTATTCTTTCCTTTGCTCTGTTTTGTCTGTGAGAAGATAATTAGCTACTTTGATCCAGAAATGGGTTGTAGTCTATGGAGTTTGAGGATTTAGTTGAACACTCTCTCTCTGACTTTGGGAGCAGTCCTACCATAGTGAGGGAGGCTGCAAGATACCCCCACTGGTGCAGACAGGACGGCTACTGTCACCCTTTCTCTGACATTAGTTAGCAGCATGGACCTGGGGAAGCGCATAAAACAAGGGAAGCAGTAGGTGGTTGTGGGTTTCTTCCATCTCTAACATCCTGTGATTCTGTCATGTCTTATTCCCTTCCCCTTCTCCAGTGGCAAGACCTCCACCTGAAGGAGAACGTCCCTCCTTCTCTTTTGCTCCTGTCACGCACCTTCTACCTGATCGATGTGAAGCCAAAGCCAATTGAGATACCCGCAAGTGTGGAGGTGAGTAACTGGGCCCATCTGAATTTCAACTTGGAATTTGGTCCAACTGTCTTTTAAAATCTTCTTTAGATTTCTGAAAACAAATTACGATCTCTGGTCCTGTGAACCAAACAGCCCTGGGGACCATCCCTGTTTGGAGCAGCCTATGCAGAGAGGACCCTAGGGCCAGCCCCACCACGAGACACGATGTTCTCTCACTGACCCATAGCATGAGGACAGCCCTGGAAACACCTTGCGGAAAGTGTGCCCGGTCTGCCACACACACAGCGTAGTAAAACGCGAAGAGAGTGCAACAGGGCAGCAAGGGGAGCAAAGTAGCCAATTCCCCGAGGAATCCTGAAAATAGATTCTGCCTTGGGGGACAGGGCTTGGCAGCTCATCAGACCCGATTGGAAAACACTCATAAGGGTAAGCAGACAGATCTGGATCTATCTTTTTTCTTTTGCCCTATGTCTATCAATATAAGATAGGCAGGACAAACAATCCCAAGGAGAAAACAATGGGACTGGGGGGACATGGGAGAGAATGGGATGGGGAGGGGGAGCAGGGAGCCAACAAACTCAGGGATCAGGGAACAACAAGAGATCTAAAACTCATGGAGAGGAGGCTTGGTGGGGTTTGATCAAGTGCAATATATCCGAGGAATTACTGAGAGCCAAGTGGAAGGTGAGCATGATAGTGGGACAGGAGGAAGGTGAAAGGAAATAGAGAAAAGAAGTAGGAACCAAAAGCTATTTATAGAGGTATAGCTATAGGCATGTAAATATGTAAATACATTAATTTATAATGAAAGGGATAGAGGCCAATGTACATATATTTAAGTGTTAAAGTATTAAGATAGCAGATGGACTTTGGGCCTCTACTCAAGGCCTCCCTAAACACAAGAACACTTTGTTCTAATAACCTGGCACTCTTTGATACTCACCTTCCTGACATGATCACTGAAGACAAAATGGGTGCATAAGCAAATGTGGTGAAGAAAGTAGATGGTGCCCCCACCTGTGTGATCACGGGGTGTCGAAGGGATGAAGTATCAGGCATCAAAAACAAAAAAATCATATCATTGTGAATGAGAGGGAGTGC